TTCTAACTAATTTATACGCACTCTCTCACGTAATCACATAACTGTCTCCAACATGGCCAGTAAGAAGTTTTTATTCTTCTGGACATAAAGGCACATCCTTTTAGAACCAGGAGTACGTCAGCTCGCTTTTTGTCCTATCTGTAGATATCGGGGCCTGTGAATCCATCATGAAGAAGAAGACCAAACAGGACTTCCAGGAGCTCATCAAGACCGAGCACGGTAGCTGCGGCGGTCCTGCTGGGCTCCTGCCCCTGCTAAGGCTTCCCTTGCTCCCAGCCCCGTCCCACCCGGCAGAGATGCCTTCTGGCTCCTTTCGGCCGATGCTGGCTGTGGGGAGTGCTGCTCCCTGCTAGAAGTCCTGGGGGTCCTTAACCCACCCCAAGGATGGAGAAAGATGGGGAGATAGACATCTGTTAGCACAGGTGGCAACCCCCCCCCCAACTACCTTCCCCCCCACCCCAGCCCCGTAATAGGCTCCCCTGTGTTTACTCACAGCGCTGCTGGAGGGCTTCAACATCCGGGAGAGCACCAGCTACATTGAAGAACACATAGACCGGCAGGTGAGCAGGTGGCCGGGGTTCCAGGAACGGTGTTTCGCGGTGGGGTTGGCCTCCAGCGGGAGGAAGGGAGAGAACGTATGTCCTGAAACTTGAACTGTCTTTGACTCTTTCTTCCCGTGTAGGTGTCGCCTATAGAGAGCCTTCGCCTCATGTGCCTTTTGTCCATCACTGAGAATGGTGAGCCCCTGGAACCGAAGACGCCAGATTGCAAAAACTGTACCTTAGGGATGGCAGAAATCATTTTGAAGGACGGAGACGAATGTCCTAGCAGACAGAACGTTTCCCAGTAATTTGGATTCTTTCCCCCGTAAAATAAAGCAGTTTTTGTTCTGAGTGAGACACCCCACGTCCTAATTTATCATCCCGACCCTAAGCAGGACCACAGCCAAGTCCCCACCACAGGCCCCGTCACATCGTAGGACCGCAGAGGCTTAGCGCAGAGTGGCATTTATTCCATCTGGCCTCCTGCCTTCAACGAGGTTTCCTAATGAAGATACAGTCCAGGAAAAGGGGACAGCCTTTTGGAATTGCACAAACATTTCCAAAAGCTCAGATCCTGCGACCTTTTGTGGCAGACCTTTTAACCTGCTCATGCAGCCTTTTCACCTGCTTTTTTTTCAGCGGGAAGTATAGTTGGCACACGATGTCACGTTAGTTTCAGGTGTGCGGCACCGTGCGCGGGACGCTGGGCTCCCCACAAGGGCAGCTACCGCCTGTCACCATACAGCGCTGTTACAGTGCCATTGACTATTCCCCGTGCTGTGCCATTCTTCCCCGTGACTTACTCATCCGCGGCCAGAGGCACCTTCCACTCCCTTCACCCTTTACGGCAACTCGTGTGTACGGCGGAAGCCGTCCAGGTGGGGACTAGTCTTCAAGGCTGCTTTCCGCCCCGAGGAGTGGTCGGCTTATTCTACATCTCCTTTGACTATCAGAGTCGCAAGCCCATTCTCCCTACCTCCCTGGAGGAAAGCATGGCAGGCTGCACTTTTGGACTTCATCTGAACATCTGTCCTATTCCTCGGTAGCGGTAAAGTGATTCGCAGTAGCGCTGGCCCAACGGCAGGAAGAAACGCGCAGGAGCCCCCTCCCTCCTGCCGCATCCCTCCGCCACCCCCGCTGGGAGCAGCCCGCCTCCCTGCGTCCCTCCCTCTGCGCCCTGGCGGCTCAGGCAGGACTCTGCCTTGGAACTCTCAGATCCAGGCTCTGTCTCTCACTGAGCAAGCTTAAATTTAAGAGTCAGTTTAGAATCGACTGGATAGGATGCAAGGTTAACATTTACCGATTCCTTTCCTCCTGATTAAGGGTTTTTTTGGCAGCAAGAGGATGGTTGGGTGGGTGGGTGGGTGGTCTGACTGTAGATTTTAGGACACTTCAGCTGGTGTTTGCAGGAGCCTGTCTCCTCTTCCTTACCAGGTTTGATTCCCAAGGATTACCGATCTCTGAAAACACAGTATCTGCAGGTAAGGCCAGGAGAATGCACTCGGGGGAACTCGGTGGAGGGAGGTCATGGGACGTTCCTAAAAGACACAGAAGAAATGGCCCCTTTCCTGTCTGTGTCCCCATTTTGTTCCCCGTCTGCCTCCCTCTTAGAGCGTCTCAGGACGGTCACCTTTCAGCACGTGGAGACCCTCCCACGCCCTTGTCTCTCCCACTCTCGGTTCTCTGGGTGGATGGCCAGTGCTGGGAGAACTGGAGCCATAGAGCTGAGTTCTCACCCCTGGGACTCTCCCTCACTTCAGCGCCTTGGAAGGCGTTGCTACAGCTTTCCTTCTAGGTCTTTCTCCAGTCTTACCTCATCTGTGAAGCCCTTCCCACCACCCTTACATCACTGGCCTTCTCTGTTCTCTCTCAGTTCCGTGCTTTTTTTTTTCTTTTTTGTTTGCTGTTTGGTTATTTCTTCAGGGCACAGAATACATGACCCTTCCGTCCCTCACCTCCATATCACCCAATGTGATATGGTGTGGCGGGCGCGCAGTGAGTGGCTGAATTGCATTTTCTTCAGAGCTATGGCCCCGAGCACCTGCTAACCTTCTCCAATCTGCGGCGAGCGGGGCTCCTGACGGAGCAGGCCCCTGGGGACACCCTCACGGCCGTGGAGAGTAAAGTGAGCAAGCTGGTGACGGACAAGGCTGCGGGTGAGCACAGGGCACGGGTAGCCCCTTCCTTGGCCCGAGTCCCCTCTTCTCACAACAGGCAGAGCACCCCGGGAGGGAGAGAATGAGCTGGGGAAGGAGAACAGGATTCTTCGCTCTCACTGTCATTACCGCTGCTTCCGCCGCGAGCAGGCTCCACGTATTGTCCGCTTACTGAGTACTAAGACCTTTAGGTAACAGTTTGTCAATCCTCACAAAGTAAGTTCATAATCTCCATTTTATAGATAAGGCAACAGGCTTAGAGAGGTTATGTGACTTGTTCAACATCCCTCAGTAAGTCAGATTTGAGCCCAGGTCAGTTTGACTCCAGGGCCCACACACTTAGCCAGTAAGCGAGGTTCACCCCGCGGGTTGCGCTTAGTAGATAGTTGGCACCCTGTAGGAGGCGGGAGACCGTGCTGGGGAGAAGGGTGGTGGTGTCTTGATCGGGTCTAGGGAATTCTGGGTGAATGGCTTTGAGGAGAGTCTTGAGATGTGAGCGGTCCCGCCGTTTGTCATTTCCTGAGTGCTTTCACCTGTGGCGATGTCATGACCCTGTAGACCTTAAATGAAATCCAGCACAGATTTCCTTCCCAGGGAAGATTACTGATGCCTTCAGTTCTCTGGCCAAGAGGAGCAATTTTCGTGCCATCAGTAAGAAGCTGAATTTGGTACGTAGGATCGGGACAGACGGGGCAGCCGTGGGTCCAGTCCTTTGTGGAGTGCTTTGAATTCACACAAACCTCTCTGTTGTTTTGTTCTTACAAAGATCCTTCTGTTCAGTAGCGTTACAGCGTGAGCTTAATTTAATAATGAGACAAGCAAGGCACAGGGCACTGGGGTGGCTCGGTCGGTTAAGCGTTCGACTTCGGCTCAGGTCATGATCTCACCGTTCGTGAGTTCGAGCCCCGGGTCGGGCTGTGTACTGACAGCTCAGAGCCCGGAGCCTGCTTCAGATTCTGTGTGTCCCTCTCTCGCTCTCTGCCCTTCGCCCGCTCCCACTCTGTGTGTGTTTCTCTTTATCTCAAAAATAAACATTGAAAAAATTAAAAAGTACCGAGACAAGACACAAAGATTCATTTACTTGATAAACATGTAACAAGCACCCGCCAATGCCAGAGGATAGGCTGAGTGCCACGTCAGTGACAGACCTGTCCCATGTCACCAAGAAATCAGCAAAGGGGCATCTTTCTTTCCAACCCTTCACAGGGAACGTGGGGAGCTCATTCAAGGGAATCAGTGGATACTGAACAAAAGCTTTAATCTTTGGTTATGGAGTCTTTTTCCTTTTTTTTAATAGGGATTTTGCCGGTTTTCCCTTTAGTTGAAATAAGAACTGTTTGGGGGGGATATGCTACTTTTCCCTGACTGCATAAAGGGCTGGAGGGATCACACGCCTCACATAGTCCCCTTTACCCCTTAGATCCCACGTGTGGATGGCGAGTATGACCTGAAAGTGCCGCGGGACATGGCATACGTCTTCAGTGGCGCTTACGTGCCCCTCAGCTGCCGAGTCATTGAGCAGGTGAGCACAGGCGACCCGCTCCCGTTCATACTCCGCGCTCTGCTTTCTCTGGCCGCCTGGCCTGTCCCGACTGTTAGCTGCCCCGGTAACTAACAAGAAAGGCGACGGTCGCCTGCGGCCTCCCTCCTTTCCCAGGCCTGATACTGTCTCGGGCTTGAAAGCGGCGCCTGTGCCCCCCCCCCCCCCCCCCCCCCCCCCAGGTGCTGGAGCGGCGGAGCTGGCAGGGTCTGGACGAGGTGCTGAGGCTGCTCAACTGCAGCGAGTTGGCGTTCACAGGTGCGTGGCATTGACCGTGCGGGCGGGGCGGGCGCCGGCAGCGGGTGGGGGCGGGCACCGCGCCACACGCGAGTGTCTGCTCTGATCTTCGCAGACATGACCAAGGAAGACAAGGCTTCCAGCGAGTCCTTGCGCCTCATCTTGGTGGTGTTCCTGGGTGGCTGCACGTTCTCTGAGGTCTCAGCCCTCCGCTTCCTGGGCAGAGAGAAAGGTAAGAGGGAGCAGAAGGTGGGGTGTGGGGGACAAGGGGCAGTGCTCAGGAAGGCTCCTCGACTGGCCCCGGCACCGCTCGCCAGTCTGGCTGTGGGCCGGATAGCAGGGCGCCCTTTCCACCGAGTGCTGCAAGTCGTCGTGTGCGGGACCGGGGCGCGGATGCGTCTGTGTCTGATCCAGCCGGGACCGTGGACCTGAGGGCTTCACGTGGCTGGTGCTGGGGGCCCGCGACCTGCTCTTAGTCACGGACGCCGGTGCTTTTGACTCCATAGGGTACAGGTTCATTTTTCTGACCACGGCAGTCACAAACAGTGCTCGCCTCATGGAAGCCATGAGTGAAGTGAAAGCCTGACGTTCTCCCTGCGACGTCTTCCCTGGACACGTTCCCGAGGGGATGCAGGAATTGATCCCAGCTGCTAATGTAGTGTCCACCAACCACCCTACTCAGAGCTGGGGAGCGCGGAACTTGTGTGGGCTTTAGCAGAAAGTTACTTGAGCAGAGCGTTCACTTCCTGCCCCCAGGAAATTTCTTTTTTGTTGATGAAGTGCAGCTTGTGCTGAAAAGAGGGGGAGGAACAGGTATCTTTGGCTAAATCCTGTTTATCATTGTAAATAAAACCTCTGCTCTCAGATGTCATGTTTAGTCCTTGCCATGCACTTCTGTCTGCTCAGTGGAGTACAGGGGCGCCTTCCACTGGGGGTTCGTGTGTTCTGTGGCCTGGACTGTGCAGGAGCTCTGGGGCCGGTCTGGTGCTCCCCGAAACTCACCCTGTACCAGAGTTTTCCCAACCCTAAAATGAGGGGGATGGATTAGATAGGCGATCAGTAAGCACCCCTCCAATTCTAAAAATCTATAATTCATTATTTTTTCTTCCTTTTTCCTCCTTCCCTCCTCTCTCCATCTCCCTCCCTCCCTCCCTCCCTCCCTCCCTCCCTCCCTTCCTTCCTTTTTCTTTCTTTCTCTTTCTTTCTTTCTTTCTTTTTCTTTCTTTCTCACTTTTCTCTCTTTCTCTTTCTTGTTCCTTCCTTCCTTCCTTCCTTCCTTCCTTCCTTCCTTCCTTCCGTAAAACTTCATCCAACGCAGGGCTCAGACTCATGACCCCAAGATCAAGAGTTGCGTGCTCCACCAACTGAGCCAGCTAGGCACTTCTTGTGATTCATTATCCTTTTAGAAAAAATGTGTCCATTACTGTTTTAACCTAAGAAGGCACTTCACTTTTAAGCATTTGTCTTTTATTACAGAATGAAAGCTTATGTCCTGTTAGAGCAGTTTCAGGCATTGGCAAACAGTGCTTCTAAAAAGGTCAGCAGTGCTCCCCAATTGATGATTTTAGTGGCCTTTCTCTCCCTTGATCTTTTTTTTTTTTTTTTAAGGTTTATTTATTTATTTTGAGAGAGAGAGAGCACACACTTGTGAGCAGGGGAGAGAGAAGGGGAGAGAGAGAATCTCAAGCAGGCTCCCTGCTGTTAGTGCAGAGCCCGATGCGGGGCTTGATCTCATGTTGAGATCATGACCTGAACCGAAATCAAGAGTCAGGCACTTAACTGACTGAGCCAGCCAGGCTCGGCATTTAAAAATTGTGAGCTGTAACCACATCTGTGAGCCTCTCTTCGGTCCTCCTCTAACTTAACCTCACTGATAACTGCCTTTCCTTTCTCCCGTTCAACTTCCATGATGCTCTTTTGTTGTCCTCCTGTGGTCTCCTAGATTGTCCTTCTGTCTTCTTGGATTACATCTCTCTGCCTATCCCCTCTCCATCCTTAGTTGTCATCCACTTCCAGATCTCAAGCTTTCCTCTTGCTGCTGAACTTGACATTAGTATTTCCAACTCCCTGCTTCCATAGGCACTTTCAACTCAACATGTTCACTATGCGTGTGAACCTGTCCTCACTTTGAATCCCTACATCTGCTCCTTTTCCTGTAATCCTGTAATTGACATCCTCATTGTCTACCCAAGTTTTGTTCATGCAACAAATTTTATCCTAGACCTCAGATGCTTTCTTTTATCCCCCACATTCAGCTGGTCCCACTACCCATTATTTCTTGAAAAAAGTTTGTTTTAACGTTTATTTATTTTTGAGAGAGTGTGTGAGCAGGGGAGGGACACAGAGAGAGGGAGACATAGAATCAGAAGCAGGCTCCAGGTGCTGAGCTGTCAGCATGGAGGCTGGAATTCACAAACCATGAGATCATGACCTGAGCCGAAGTCAGACACTTAATGGATTGAGCCACCAGGCGCCCCTCCATTATTTCTAAACGCTTGTGACTCATCTTTTCCTAACTGTCCCCATGGCAGAGATACTTAATATTTTTTGCCTGGGTTTTTGCAAGACTGTCCATTCCAGTTGCTCTGCTTCCTATTTGTCCCCCAATTCACAGTGCTGCCACTGTGGAAGAAAGATCTTGGAAGAAAGATCCAAATCTGTGTTGTTGGATCATCAAAACTATTCAAAACACAGAATGCTGTGTCAGCGCATATTCCAAGGAAAATGCATACCTCAGGTATCCAGCTAGAATTTTTACAGGGCCGTGTCAAGCTAGTGTACAAGATCAAAGACACCACGGCAGGGCTGTTTGTATAAAGAATATGTGGTGGTAGGACAATGATTGTATGGCCAAGGGAAAAGACCGCGGCACCACACTTACGTTCTGGAACATAATTGTTCTAGAACAATGCTGTCCAACAGAAATACATGATCCTGTAAAAGGGTCCTATTTAAACACAAATTACATGGTGTTTTACATGTGGGTATATACCCTGGTTATCTTCCAACGGTCCTATGACTTTGTTGGCTTCAGAATTACAGAGTAAAGGACATGATAGCAACATTTCCTTATCTCTGGGTACTTACAATGCTGGCCCCAGGAACGTGTCTGAAGATCACAAATTTTTGAAGCTTTCTGAATAAGTTTCAAGTTAATCAACAGAGAGTGCAAGTAAATTTAAAAAGTGGTATCTAGGGACACCTGGGTTTGCTCAGTGGGTTAAGCATCTGACCCTTGATTTTGGCTCAGGTCATGATCTCACTGTTGGTGAAATCAAGCCCAGCATTGGGCTCGGTGCTGGCAGCCAGGAGCCTACTTGGGATTCTCTGTCTCCTGTTGCCCTCTCTCTGCCTCTCCCCCACTCATGCACACTCTCTCAAAAATAAATAAATACACTTTTTTAAAAATGTGGTGTCAGGGTGCCTGGCTGGCTCAGTCAGTTAAGCAGCTGATTTCAGCTCAGGTCATGATCTCACAGTTCATGGGTTTGAGCCCCACATCAGGCTCTTTGTGACAGCTCAGAGCCTGTAGCCTGCTTCAGATTCTGTGTTTCCCTCTCTCTCTGCCCCTTTCCTGCTCACGCTTTGTCGCGCTCTCTCAAAAATAAACATTAAAAAAAATTTTAAATGTGTCTGCGGTTCACTCCATGAACCATGTGAATGTCTGGTGTGCTGCTGACAAGTTAAAGGATGTTGAAAGCACCAATTAAATTCTGAAAGTGAGAGATACATGATCCTGCACACGAAGCAAACAAGCATCCATTACTTTTTTCTTAATGGAAAAGCAAATGAAAAGGAGTCATCAAAGTTATGGATGGCCAATAGACACAGGCACAATGTGCACTTTCATCTGTAATCCAGCAAGTGCAGATCAAACGAGGAAATGACACTCTCTGCCTGTGAAATTAGCAGAGATTTAAAAGGACAGTAGGAAGCTGTGGAGGGTGAGAGGAAGGTATGCTTCTGGGGAGGCTGCCATCATGGGAAGGGGAGTATTCAGTAGCTCCTCTTCTATGAATCAACTGTAAGAAAATAAAGCAAGATGCAAAGATTTATGTATGAAGACATTTATTTGTAAAAATTACAATCTAAATAACCGTTGTTAGCAAAACAGTTGAATTATGAGAACTTTCCAGCCATAATATCATGCAACTGTGAATCACTGAAAACCAAGCTATATATTAGCATTTACAGATGTATCATATGTTCAGCGAAAAAAGGGTTACAAAAGTGCTTTACTGTCCATTTTCAGGGTTTTTTAAATTTATTTTGAGAGACACACACACACAGAGCAAGGGAGGGTGAGAGAGAGGGAGAGAGAATCCCAAGCAGGCCCTGCCCTGCCAGCACAGAGCCCAAGGTGGGTCTCCAACTCTCAACTGAGATCACAACCTGAGCCAAAATCAAGAGTCCAATGCTTAACCCATTGAACCACTCAGGCACCCCCGACTTTTGAGTTTAAAAATTTTTATACAACCATATAATCCCTGTTATTTGAAAGAACCACGCCCAGGCGATCTCCATTTGTGTGCCAATTACGTGACCTGGACAAGCCCCTCAAGCTTTCAGAGACCGTTCTCTCCTGCGTGAAATGGTGATGCGATAATACCAAACGGGGCGGTCGTGGAGATTAAATGGGACCACCGTCTAGAAAGGTGCCGGCCTGTGAGACGGGTGCAGCGTTCCTCCCCTTCCGCTGCAGGGCACGGCTCCCAGACGTGGGGAAGGCCGCCACCAAAGATCACCTCCAGGCTCGCCTTCTGGACGCGCTGGGAAACGAGTTAAAACGCGGAACGCGCTCCCGTCCCCCGGCGGTTCTCGCCCCTTCCCGGCGGCCTCCGGGCGGCGGCGCGCACTTCGAATCCAAACTGCGCCTGGACGGGGTGGGGCCGGGACTCGGCGGCTGGCCGGGGCGGGGCTGCGTGGGGGGGACCGGACTCCCCGCCACCGCGAAGCTGAGAGAGGAAGCCGCGCACCTGCGAGACCCGGCGCACGCGCAGACACAGACCCCAACCCAAGCCGGCGGGCGAGCGCCTCCCCCGCCCAGCCCAGCCCCGCAGCCCCCGCCGCCAGCCCCGGGGCGCGGGGGACCCAGTGCGCGGTCGCGGCGCGCCGCCAGGGGCGGGGCTTCTCGAGGAGCGTCGGGTCAGGGCGCCAATCGTGGAGCCGCTCCGCCTCCGGGCTCGGTTTGAAATTCCGCGGCGGCCTAACGGCTCGCGGAGCCGCGACCCGGAGCAAGGCCGCCGGTTCTTGCGGGAGGTTGCTGCGCTCGGCCCTGCGTGGAGGTCTGGGGCCTCGACGCCCGGCTGCTTGGAGCGTCCGCCATGAGGAGAAGGTGCGGGCTGCGGGGGAGAATGGGGGACGCGGGAGGGAGCGACACCCGTCCCGGGTGCGGGCCGGTGCGGGGTCCCCGAGACGACCCTCGGCCCGGGCGCGGGTGTCACGTTAGCCCGCGCCGGGGGAGGCCCGGGCGCGGCCGGCAGGGCCGCGGAGCGCAGAGCTGGCGCCCGGCC